TTTACACTATAATTTATATATAATCTTTACAATTCATTATTAAAATGTATTCATTACTAAAAGTTGTAACACATTAAATAAAATTAGAACATTATCTAATACGATTAGTATGATTATTAACAACTTTATAAAATTCTCATAATTTTTAGCTATCTCATACTATATACACATCTTCAATATCTTTGCCTGTATGCTCTGATATTTGTAAAATAACACAAAATTATAAAAAAAATGGAGAAAACAACTAACGTTTATTAATAGAACGAAACAATTAAAACATTTTCAAAATCTATTTCTGTAGAAATACCTAAACACAGTTGAATATAGATGCATGTTGAATAAAATTTATTTATTTAATTTTAAACAAACTGTTTACAATCTTTTTGAGATTAAATTAGTATTTGTTTGCAATAATTGATTACAATTATAGTTTTACGAATTTTCATTTCCCTCCATCACTATTTCCTTATAATTGTATTAAAAACAAGCCACATAAATTGAAATGCACTTCAGTAAATAGCATATTGAAAAAAATAAAATTTTAGCAACCTTCCAGCAACCTCTTTATAATATTCTAACTAATATGGCAAACTGAAAGAGTATTTAATCTTGTGAATAATAATCTTATTCAAAAAATTTGTGAACTATACAGTTAAATATAATAAGCATACAGCCATTTCTAATTGCTATGTACAGTGCTATTGCACTTGAACATTCAATGTATTTGATTGTTACTGACTGTGACCTATAAACAAACAAAAATTTATGTCACATTAGTCACCTGGTACTTTTTAAACACACGAACGAATCGCAGATTACAACGTATTCTTAATATAGCAAACCTTCGACTGAATTTACAAATTAATCTGACAATTTGTGTAAAAACAGCGCAAACAATGGGACAGTCTGCATAGGCCAGTTTCAAGAAAAATTAATCATGATCTGGAGTTAATGTAAATAAATATTAGAAATAGTATTATATATAAATTGCTATAAATGACTTCCTGTTTCGCTTGTTTTCTTTTCCATTAATATATATTTCTCATATAATATCGCATAAGAAAGTAAATAGTCTGTATTACAAACTATAATCGAATGGAAATTTGCTATATTATTAGATGTGTTTACGTTGAACACGAACCTTGAAGTGAACTGTACAAAATTAAAATCATTAACGTTACCGTCAAATTTTTCTACGCAATACATTTTCTATCCGTAAGTTATATTACAGTATTTACCTTTGTAGGTATTAGTGAACTATATTATATTTATTAAACATTAAATTTCGAATTTTTATAAGTATACGCACATGTTTTTAAAAATTTCAGATTGTTTATGAATTTTACTAAAACACGTTTTCTTGTTAACTCCAATAGCATCTATATAGTAACAGGGATTCTTTCAACTTCTAAGTATATATATGCACGCTTGTAGTAATCCGCACCTTAATATATTCATTCGAAGTAACATATGCAAATTGTAACTTGATAATTCATTATTCTTTATGATTTATATTACATTGTTGAGTAAGGTATAAAGCTTGAAATTTATATTAGCATCGGGATACAATATTCACGTAGTATATAAGCAATGCTGAAATTAACAGTGGCGGAAAATAAATCCGAGGTGAAAAATATGTCTGTGTGTTTCTGTATGTGTGTGTACTTGCGTGTCCGGCTAGGTAAAGAAAATGTTAGGATTGGATAATCAATCTGAACTCTCACTCATTCAACTATCACTGGAGTTATTTCTACCCGAATACGATGTCGATGACGATCTAGTACTGCTTGATTCATTGGCTGCTCTAAAAATAAAGAAATACATTTGTGTGATTCTTTCTACCTTCTTTTATAAGAATATACGTATCTTGTCATGTTGAACATAATGCATATAAAATGGAATTTGTCGTTACTTGTAAATCAATGTACAAACATTATGCGGAATATAGCACATTAGTGTACCTAAAAAGGGCAGCTAAGCTAGGTCCAACAGTATCTTGATTTGCTTCTGCAGAGGTTTGATCTCCTAAGCTTTGCCTACAAATAGGACAAGTTCCATGCTAAAAGAATAAATAATATAATCATGAAAACCACCACATTATGTAGTACTAAGAAAGAGGGACAGAACTTTTATGTATATTATTACGACTTCCTGTTATCAAACCTACCAATTCTAACCAAGGTACAATACACGGTGCATGATACAAATGTTGACAGGGAAGTTGTCTCACTGGTTCTGAAAGTTTGAAGTCCTCCCAGCATACAGAACATTGGAGTTTACTATCTGCACAGAGAAAGACGTATTTTATTACAAAACAGTTTGCTGTCACTTACTATAAGCTTCTTTTATTCAAAGAGTAATAAGATTTTATACTCACCAACTTGATTTTGAGTTACAGCAGTAGTTGGTATTTCATCAATTTGTTTTCTCGGCAACGGTGGTGGACCAGTTCCATCCATTTGATTTAACATCTGTGTTACAATCGCATCGAAACCATCTTGACCCCAAACATAATCTCCAGGATTTGCCAAGAACAGTCTAATATTGAATCTATATTATTTTGTTTTATTTTAGTAATACTAAATATCAAATGAAACAAAAAATAATGGCTTTTATCCTGGGTGAACAAGCTTTTCATTTCTCCTTGTAGTACCACTGGGGTTTATAGATAGCATATATATTAATGTATTTGTCGCTGTGACTTATACTGAAAATGGATACAAGCGATCAAATATACTAGCATGAATTAACAAATATAACTTTGCCCGTTTACTGTCCTTTTTACAGAATATATATAATTTATATTCTCCTTTGCAAGAAAAATGATAAAACAGCCTTGGCAACAAATGCACTAATTGACTACAAATAGAGCTATATGTTTTATCTTTAAAAATGCCTACAAGGATATTTGAATGTTTGCCTTCATGTATTATTTTAAGTTAACACAACCGAAATAGTTTGGTCCATGTCCGACCAAAGAAAAATCAGGATTCCTGTGCAACAATTTACATCTTATTCAATCAGAGAGCATGCTTTGATTTTTATTATACGCATTTATTAAATTTTGTAAAACAATTCCATACTATTTATATTACGCTTAAATTTGTAACATTCTCGTTTACACTCATGCGATTTTAAAAGATGTGGACACCCAAAAATAAAAAGAAAACTGTTATATAGTATTTTTTAATGGTTGTATTAAGAAATAAATAAGCAGATATTTACAACACACATGAAATATTTGTTTTTTATCTGCTAAAAAATAATTATTTTGTAAAAGGAAAAACAAGGACTCTATTAAAAATGTAATAACAACTTCCTACATAATATCGAACATTTTGTTTGAGAATAACATAAAATACCGTTTTTGTGCCAAACAAAAGAAATTCAGGTGTACATAGAATAGATTTCAAAGATTGCTTTTGAATTCACTCAGGATAACGTTTTACATACATACAAGCTCAATGCAGAAAAAATTAAACGAGGTATGAGCACGACTTGCTTGCTAATAGTACCTTAATGATTTTAATGTATTCCATGGAATATAATACGCATACTTGAGAGATGAAAGTAACATCATGACATAATCAGCACGAGCAAATAATAAAAATTTAATAGTTTACATACACAGGTGGTTGTCCATCTTGTGTTACAGGATGACCCAGACCTGCTCCCGAGAGAGTAAGTAGGAAATCTTGTATGAAATTCTCTACAGACATAGCGTCATCTTGTCTTCCACGACCGCTGTTTAATATGAGAATAATTATTCAGCTCTTTTTATTACTGTATTAGTACCTTAGTATTATAAGTGCTCTAAGATAATGTCACAAGAAGCATGTCCATTGTTATAACAAATATGTACCATGTATTATCATGACAAGTACATCAATAAAACTCTTAATTACATCAAATCAGTGATACGCCAAGATGTTATTCAGGATGCAATTTTTTAAAGAAATAAGTATGATACCTAAGATGTACCTCTTGTTAACCCTTTCGCCCCTAACACCGGCTATTGAGGGCATCAGTGAAGTTATCCACGAATACTAGTGGGGATAAAGACTATATCTATCATCAGTGAGTCATCAAATATAGGGTTTTAAATAATGACAAAATATAATGTTAGATACACATTGTTTTTACGTGACTTCTATTTTGCTTTTTTGTATGAAAAATTATATCTTCAATTCAATGAATTAAAACAGTGGAATAACTAAAAAGCGTATTGTGATTCCTGATAACCTACATTGCCATTGTGCATAATCCCAACTCAACGGATGCTGCTGTGGCAAAAGGGTTAATTTTTGCATTTAATAATTATCCAATTCAGAGAAGATATCGCAACTTACACGTTTCTATGAACAAAGATGATTTTAATGCATTTTTATGCAATTCATGCCTCTAGTTAGTTCATAATCTCAAACTTGTAAACATTCAGAATTTCCAGATGATAAATGAAATTTACCTTTGAGGATGACGAGTGTCTGCAGTACTTGGAAACCAATTAAGACGTCTCCTATTAACATTATTCAAATTGATTGGTACATTATTTCTGTTAGGAGTGTCTGATGTCTGTCCTCTATTGGATAGTCCTAACATATCCATTACACCACGTTCTACCAACTGCACAAAGAATCACTAATTGTAATGAGGCCTAAGATTTGTATTAAACGGTAGAAAACTAGAGAAATAATACACTAACGCATTCGAGATCAACATATTTTTACAAAACTATTCGCGGAAACTGGCAACATTTACGCATTGTCTGTACATGACCTACATGCTGGGTCATCTGTCAGGAATGTGTTGAAAAAAAAAAATAAACATTTTTATTTACATTGTGCAATGGTATGTAATCGTTGTCACTTAAATCTTCGCTGCTGACATCCATGCCCGAGTTACTATCATTGCTACCACTTTGTAATTCCTCTATGAAACCACTCGCACATCTTGGACATGTATAATCCTAAAATACAATTACACATTATACTATTTTATAAATGTCTTTACATGGTATACATGCAAAATACGATTAAACTTATGTTTATGAATGAAATGCTGTTCTCTGTGTATTGATGAAGTTAATAACCAAGAGTAACATTGAAATTAGTTATTGCATTTGAGAAAACTTATAGAGCTGTATGAAAGTAAAGAACATTCAATGTAAATGTATTTAAGAATATGGATTACAATATAAAATAAGAAATTATTAAATTATACGAAAATAACGAGGGTGACTGTTGTACGACCGATTTTTGTATCCTAGAACAAGAAGCAAAAAATCTTTTTACGCGTGATATCGAATGACAGATTAAGATAAAATATGTATATTAGAGGTCAAAAAAAGAACCGCTTCGAATTGACGGCTATCGTTAACTGAAATACGTAAATGTACTTACGGGTAGTAAACCTTCGATTTCGATACTGCATTTGTGACAGAAAAATCGGGACATTGGTGCCCCGTCTACAACGGCTTCCGCCATGCTTTACGTGTCCTCCTTGCTCCTCTTACCTATTTCTGACTATCGTTGCGAACTGCCGTTGTCCGTCACAACTCTTCCTCTACTTGATTGCGTTTAAGCGAATGTCGAATCTGAACTGGAAAACTACTGATTTTAGATGATACCTTCGCATAACACGAGATGGCGTCCGATTAACTTTGTCGATTGCGCATCAACACCTCGTTGTAATGTTCAATTGCAATTCTTTAATATCATTTTCTTTTTTCTCTCAGTACATACTTGAAATTTCTTTCTTCGTTCAGCCATGCACTACCTTCCTTTGTCTTTTTTCTTCTACATACGTTTATTCGACGGATACACACGGAAATATTGTTCGAATAAATGTCTTTTCGCTAGAAATTGTTAAATTAAGAACAATGAATACTCCTCGCTAGTCTAAACTAAAAGCCCCTTATCTCTTGTGATGCAAAAAATATTGAATGTATAAAGCTGCTTGCTTTATCGATTGTCACGTACATACATATTGTACGTAAACTCTAAATGTATTTCTTAACGAAAAGTATGTTTAATAGGTTAGGTTAATATACACACGGCTCACTTGATCGCGTTTTTCTCGATCACTTACTAGTGTTACTACAAATACACAAGAAGAGGTCTCAATTGGACTGTAACTTTTGATTGGCAGAATATGTTAAGACACATAAAAGTACCAATCGTAACTTGCAGCACAACTAAGCTTTCTCTTCTGTATTTATGTGAATGCGCAAGAAAAACGCGAATCAGCTCATATATATTTAAGCCATGCACACGTACGTACGCGCGCGCGTAGAAACACATGTACCGTGTGATTAGAAATCTTGAAGCTTATTTCGTTTCTGCCAAAAACATTCATCATTTATACATAATTCATTAAAGCAGCAAATAAACTAGCTAAGTAGAAAATATCGAATGATGTAAAACATGATCGAGGTTTATCATGCGTTCAAGTTTTGTCCCCAGTATTTTGTCCGCTAACTATATAAACATAGCCACATTTATAAACGAATACAGTGTAGATAAATATATCACATTCGTGTATACATGCGTATAAGCTATTTATACATGAATTTTGTTGCATTTTGTACGCGTGCGCCTGACAGACTGTATACGTATGTGTGTACCACACGCACACACCACACACCAAATTATTCACTGGATTCTCATTTTATGCACTGAATGTATGTAAATAGTAAATACAAATGCACCCGATACCTGCTTTGATACTTCGTCGCAGCAATTGCAGTAGAAGGGGCGTCGTACACGTTTGTACGAGTAACAAGGCAAACTTGATCAAATGAGTCGTGTGTGTACGTAGACGCGGATTCTAAGTATGTATACACATATGTAAATATATTTAAAAATCGCGTGTTTCTATCCACATGTGAGCACCGTATGTTTCTATCCGGGTGTAGTAAATCTTTATCCGATAGAAGTTCTTTCGACAACGAGAAATGAAATCAAAAACATAAACATAACACTATATAGAAATACCCCCACATGAAACAAGTTCTGTACATTAATTTCACAGTAAGTATAACTCCTGTGACTTTAAAAGTCTAACAAACGTTCATTCTACTGCACAGTTACACAACCGAACAAAGATAAATGGAAAGTTAATCATTTCTTTTTGAGAACATTTATGTAATAATAATAAGTATAGCGATAATGTAAATTATTGATTTATTACGATCAAATAAAAGTCTAACTAAATTTCCTAGGATGCTTTATATTAATTCATATTATTTTACTTACACAAGTAAGCACAATAATGATTTTTTTCTATAACTATTCAGATAAATATATTACAATGTCGTAGTTCACTAAACGAACAGTTATGTATTTTAAGTTTTTGTACCGTTTGAACCATAAGAACTTCGAATGTTCTCTTAAAATTTGTTTCGAACCTAGTTTGTTATACCGTTTCTTGTCAGATCATTTTTACACGTAGAAAGAGAGTTCTTACGTAATGAACACATTCTTTTTAAAAGTGGAATGTAATCGAGCCGAATGAACACACGAAATACGCCTCGATTATGGTAGGAAAAGATTCCAAGTCTGTCACAATCCATTTTACAACTAACTATTTGTATAGTATGTATATGTGTATGTATGTACATATCGTTTTCGCTTCATTCATGATGAGTCTGTAAAATGAAATTTGATTGATGCCGCTCCTCTTAACTTAATATTTGGAGTAAATTGGCAGTTACACTTTTTTTTAATAATAATATAGACATATCTATCACTATCTCTTTTACGACGTAAATTGAATAGAAAAAACGATTTTAGTTATTGGATTTACATACAAAAATAATGACCTCTTATAACAAAAAAAGAAATTGGAAACATTGATTTTAAAATAATTACTCCAATCACTAGAAATGATCGAATAGCTACTGCGAATCATTCGATGTTTATTTTTGTTAATTTTTGTTGCTGACTTTGACTTTTGAATAAGTTCAGTTTGTAAAATGTGATGTATATATTCACACACATACTTCGCGTTGTAATGTCATAGATCCGTTAAAATAGGTTGTTTAACAACATCAGAGTAGCTAACGAGGAATTTTACGAATTGGATAGTTGTATTTGCAGTTTTACTTCGAAAATATTAATGTGGATTTTATCGCTTCGATATTCTTAATTATTTTAATTAAGATCACATCGCGAATAGATCCTGGCATTACATTCTGTTTCACTAATTTTACTATTAACAGTGTGCTGACTTTGGACATTTTTTCAATTACAGCCTTCAATTAATGGTAATTGTACTAATCAGATATATGTAACTTACTTCAAATACAATAAAAATACTTCGCATAATTTCCTGCATTGGTTTTCTTTAAGAAACGTAGATGTGCATGCTTTACGATAATCCCGGATAATTATGTAATAGTTTTCTGCCGATTGTAGTTATTATGATATACACTCCTGTTGTGGTCATAATCATGGGGTAAACGATGGTTTGCAAGACTATGCGTATGTGGTTTTTTTCCTTGCCATATTGTTACCGCTGTAACGTTTTATGATATCTTTAAATAGTAAATAATTTCGTGCTAAAAAACAAACGTCACTGTCTACCTATATATAATACGATGCCACTGATGTTTCGAATTTATGAATATTTATCATGAAAAAGTAGAGTACCGATTGTCGATGATTTAAACTTGTACGCACATGTCAAGAAGCAAATATTCGTTTCTTCAGTCGAGAATTGCTCGATAAGTACGTATGTCTCATGTCTATTAAAATTAATTACTGAATATATATGTTGGAAATAACAACTCACGTCACAAAGAGCAAAAGTCGAAACAGTTTCAAGTTTAATCGTTGTTCAGGATATGAACACTATCCAAGTCACAGAATTTAAAAATTGTAAAAATTTAAATCACACTTAAGTTAAGCGCTGTGTTATTAAATTTACCAACCTGATTAATGGTGGTACCGAATAATATCATAAAAATGATGTCGAAAATAAATTGGAATAATAATATATGTATACATTCTTTACAAAAAGAGATAAATATCAATGATTTTACAGATATCTCAGCAAGCTGGCTGTAGTTTGTAAGCAATTGTATTTTCAATACAATGTTTCGAGCACCTCATCGAATACACCCTAAGTCTTTATTTTAATTGTCAGACGAAAGTTCTCGTAAAAGCGTAAAAATGAATGTGTACTGTGATTAACAAGAACCACAGAATTTGTAGATACGACGATTAAGTACAAGATTTTTTGTAATTATAATATCATGTACAAACGTACGTATCTGCATTTGTTTATCATTCCAATATATGTTGCCGTAACCAAGAAAGACAATTTGGTGCATCGCATAAAGGTGTAAAAAAGAAATCTATTAAATTAGGAAGGAATCATATCCCTAGTGTGTTCTCATAAGGTGTAATTTTAACTCGACCCATACACGAATCTTTCAAACTTGATAAATATAATCAGTTGGATTCTTATATATTGTATACTACTACTTCAATGATAAGCCATCGAAATTATTACAGATTACGGGAATTAAAGGATACCTCTTTCACATCCAACACAGCTTAATAACCTGTAATTATTAATCGTGTCATAGATAATGAATATTTCATTTACTATATATGCATAGCATATAGTAAAAACATGAATTACATATTGCACAGTCTCAAAATTAATGTAACTTTTTCTAGAACTGTATGGAACATAATTTTGCGTGGACTAAAAATGTTTATTTTGATATCAGGATTTTGAAGTCAGTCGATAGAAATTTTTACAATATATCGTGTGATTAAAACGTTCACGAATCAAAAACCAATGACCGCACTCAATTCTTTTGTACAAAATCTGGAAAAAGATGTACCGTAGTACGTAGTGTTGCACACAAAAGCGAGTCGTACAGTTTTCCTGAGTTAAACACAACGATGTACGTGTATGCTGCGTGTGTCACACATGCAAGCGCGCGCGCGTAAACACACACAAAAAGGAATAAATGACAATGAATAATAATGTTCCCTAGAGTCTTCCACATTTTTCAAGTGAATTGTATTATTTCATGTTGGAATGAGCACGTCACAAAGAAGAAATTGATATTGTATGTAAATCGTTTGTCTGCAAACATAAGATTGAAGAGTTAACGCCAGATTCAAACTAGCAGTGAAAGGCACGGTCAGATCAAGATCAATCTGAATTTAGCCTATATTTCTCTCAATGGATTGCGTGTGAGCGATAAAGACTGCTGCCAGATTTGACGTGATCTGACCGTATCATGACCGCTAGTGTGAATCTGGCTGAAGTTCGCAATGGTAATAGAAATTGACAGTAATGGAAAATGTTCATTATGCTTACACAATTCAATATGACTTTGTAATTTTCACTGATATGTATTTTCCAACGATTTTAGAATGAGCGCATCTCACAAATTGAATTTCTTTTTTTAAATGTAATCTGTAAATTTTCTCAACCGTATCAACCAATAGAAATTAATATATTGAAACATTATGGTGGACGTCACTATATAAAGTATAGCTGAAATAGTTGGCGCACAGAGTCAAACGTATCACATTGATAGAAAAGTTGATATAAATGCAACGATATCACGATGAGTAGTTGGATTGGCACAAATTCATCAGTAATTCGTCGTTCAGAGCCTCGTGTTCATTTCTTCGCAATTGGCAACAATATGCTTCAATCAAATGGAATGGTTATGTATTAGTTGTTTATAACAGCATGTACTTATGTACAGAGCATAAATGAATCTATTCTTCTCATATTATTACGTTAGTCTGTTACTACAAATATTCACGTATTCTTCGAGACAACGAGAATAATAAAGTTGATTGCTTTACCCCAATAAGAGCAAAGCGATAAAAAGTGTGTTTTCAGATTTTTTCAATAAATTTGTAACGAATGATATGCATAGAAAGAACCTATTTAAATTAATTGTAGAGATGCTATAAAATTTTTTTTTCCGGTATTCATTATTTCGAACTTATAGGAATTGTAAGAGGTGTAGATGTAACAGATAGATCTAGAGTTTGCTTCCACAGTATAACAAGGTGTAAGGAAGAACTGTGAAAGCAAAAGTGTGACTGATTTCCATTGCAGAGATTGTGCATTGTCCAAATATGTGGATTGCGTAAACAGTTCAGACAGTCAATGAGATAGAAAATATTTTTTAGTTATAATAAAACTCTATGGAGAACAACGTGACACTATAGCCTGGAACGTAATACATAAAACGTAAACGTGTTGTTATGTCGTAATACTAAAATTCAATAATGGTAATGCATAGTAAATTATCTTAATATCTACACGATACGTGAGAATTGGAAAGTGTATTCTCGCGATCAGTTTTCATCCGATGATTCCGTAGAACTTTGTGGCATGGTGTTGAACCAATTTTCTCGAACTCCAGTACTCCTGAGGGAAATAAGTATTAAAGTTTGAATCTTGTGAGACTTGTTTGTTCTTATTTTTTTTTATTCCTAAGAAGTTTAAGAGGTAAAAATACCAAACAAACAAACATTTTTATTGTTTCAGATGATTTAACAAGTGTAAAAAGAAAAAAATAGTATCTATAATTTCGTAATAAGTACCTTGCTCGTTGACGGGTACTAATGGGTAGTGTAAGCGAAGTTCTGTAATATTGAGGTGTAGTAGCCGAAGCTGTTTCGTCCGGTCTTCTATGCAACGTCATAGTTTCATGCGGAGACGTAACTAATTCATCCTCGTTAGCTAAATAATAGCGAGAACCTGTTGCGCTTTTGCAATTTTCACACTCGCTTCTATAGTCATCAGTGTCATCGTGAAGAGTAGGGAGAGCTTGCATGCTACAAGTACACGCTACCGATTCAAAACTTCCCTCTTCGTTAATTTCATTGGCTACATTCAACGGTGGCTGAAACGTACAAGAAAAGTATTATGTATTATAATATATGGTTAACAGACTGCTTGCACGTGTGTTGTTACGATACCTTATAATTATGAGATTCTTCAGATTTTTTATCTAATTTGTGTCTTTCAGTCTGTTGTTGCCTTGACAAGGAAGAAGCAGAGGGAGGCTGTATTTGTACATCTGGATAGGGTATACTTGGATTCATAAGTCCTTGATCGGTTAATGGATCTTGTTGCACAATATGTTGCAAATTTGGCGAAACATTGGTCGACAGGGGTCGTAAAAGCTCATTTTTGGAGCAATCATGTATAATGTCTTGCAATCTAGTAGCAGTACGAGTGGTTAAGGTTCTAGGAATTGTACGGTGGGCAATCACATTAGAATTTGACAAAGTCGCAGATATTGTAAATGCTCCTGCTTGACGAGGGAGAGTAGTATGCGTCTGATAGTTTTTTGAAATAGAAGTTTGTAAGTTTGACGCGGAATGTGCAGTTGTATCTGGGTGCTGGTTACCAAAGTTTGGGATTCCAATCGTGGTAGGCAAGTTCTCGTAAGTATTTGTCCCCATAGTAAAATTTGTAGTAGAAGTTCCTACGCTGACTCCTTGAGATAATGTTTCGTTTTGATTCGATTGACGATAACTAGAGTATATATTTGGATTTGAAATTGGTCTATTTGGAGTGGACGTTAAACCACTCGAATCTGCAATACTAGTGTCGCATATCAATGCCGACGGATTGCCATTTATGCCGCTTTGTGTGCTTCCTACAAGCGATATATTAGTGCGACTGTTGGCATTAGTCAAATAGGTGTTCGGAAAATTCAGCTGCGGAAGCGCTTGCGGATTCATTGCTAGAAGAGCCTGTTCTGCTCTCGCTGCTGCAACAGCCTCTTCGTAAGGCGGTGGAGCTTCTCCTCGCGGAAAATAATTGCTGGGAGGCTTCCACAATGGATAATTGGCTCCGCATGGAATGTCATCCATAGGAACACCATATGACAATCCATCTCGTTCTAAGTATCCCATACTACCTAAATTTCTTTGGTCCTCTACCAATTGTATGTTCTGTCTTCCTGCAACACGAACTTTTACAAGACAATTCAGCGTTTCTGTTCAATGATTGTGAGAAAGAAACAAGTAATACATTTTGAAAGGTAACATACCTCGTATCTTTGTTTGTCGTAAGCGATGTATTAAAAAAAATAATAGGCTCAGCGACAACACAACTGTTACAAAACTAGCAACAGTTCGCAATCCTATATCATAATTTGCAGTAGTATCGGTCGTATTGTTACCAATAACATCAGTTTTGTAATTCAATATAGATGACAGTGTGTCATCCAAGCAGATATACTCGCAACAGATATCTCCACGTAGGAAAGATTTACAATTTTCCTATCAAACATACAAATATTTCTTAATATCTTATTATCGTAGGAGAATAAAGGAATGTAATAATACATTCTAGAGAATGACCCAGCATATGAGTCATGCAATATCTTATCTGACAACACATGGGTCACATACAGATAATATGTACTTATAAACACTGCTGGCTTCTGGGGATAGCCTTGTATTAAGTGAAGAATGTGTTAAGCAATTCCACTATAATAGTATTGAAAATGAAATACCTCTGGGAACTTGGTGCAAACATACGCTTTGCACAATTTTGGGTTGCCATTATCACAAACGCACAGTGTACAAGGGTCTGAACCAGGAACGTAAGTTACCCCAGATTCATAAGATCGTCCTTGATGATCCTTACAGGAGACACCACTTTCCGCACGAGTGACTGTAAAATATCCCAAGAAAATCGTTGAAAGATCTATAGAAAAATATGCTCTTTCCACTATATCTACTATATCCTTTAATCTTGTACATTAAACACGACTAGTTTGCCGGTTACACGAGTACTTTTATGCTTGCGTAATTACTGTAGCAATCTGTACGCGACTATTAAAAATAAACAGTAAAAGAAGTAAACGAGGGAGCGCGCGCGCGCAATCGTGCTAGCAGACGAGTGAGCAGGTGAGCGGCAGCAATACATGCGTCATATGCACATTACGTCAATCACTTCATCCAACTACAGTGAGTTTTTTCGTTAAAAATTCTCGCTCAATACGAACTGACGAATATGTAAAACTGGCGCAACATAATAATTCAAATGTGGAACGTGTTAGTATCGAAATTGTCGTACACGATAAGACACTCTGAAACTACGAACAATCTCCTTGCTTGTTTTAACAAGAGCTAGGCGCGCACTTTTGAAGAATTGCGAAAGGAAAATGAAACATACGAAGCGTAATAGGGGGAAAATGGAGGAAAAACAAAAAGCGTCTCGTAAATGTAGGTACGTGAGAATAGAAAGAAAGAAAATACAAGTTGCTCGACTCACCATTAAAAAATAGAATAAACGCGGAAACTGCATAACCGAGACGGTTACTGCCGCTGTATCTCATTCTGCGTTCGTTATCTCATCATAATCGTGACCATTTGGCGCGGTGTGACAACAAAGCGGGAGAACAGATATCGTTCAACGTTTCAAACTCTGTTCCGTTTCGTCGACTCGTCGTTGTCCTTCGACATTCTTTCCAACGTCGTTCCAGTCAGCATCTCACACTTAATACACCTGTATCACGGGTTGCTTCTGTAGGAGCAACAGTTATTTTCGCACACCTGCATATCTTAGAAACTCTTCTTTTACTCCCAAGTGTCCTCGCACAGTATGCGTCCTCTCAAATAGACACACCAACTTTCACCTACTTGCACCGAGTCCCGACTCCCGACACCCGACACCCGGGATGATCGATTAGTAAACGGAGCAGCTATCGGTGTCGAGCACCGATACCGATGCCACCGCCATCTTCGAACGCTTTCTGAAGTCTTCTTTACCTGATACCCTCTCATCGTTAGATACTCGCCTACCTGTTCTATCCGCTTAACCCGATTCACTCGGTGCTTGTTAACCTAACGATCCCGACTGTTCACCAAAATTGTGCCGTGTTGCCATGATTTAATTATTCTGAACGTATCATATTTAGTTGCCTATTTCGAAACTTCTTTAACGTATTTCACCGTCTTTCGTCCTTCTCGTCTGTTGTTGTTTGTTCGTAGGTGTTACTTGATCGGTAACTGAGTTTACTTCTTTCTACGCGAAAAAAGACTTATGTATGTATGTACATATGTATATTGTACATATGTACATACTGTTTGATTCATTCATTGTAAACCTTATTATTAATTGATTTCAAATTCTACGTACTTATCCGTTTACATCAATAGTTGTACAATATGTACTTACATACAATATGAAACGTACACGACCGGCGGGATCGGGCATGGATGTCGATTGAAAGTAAAGAAAACAGCAGAACGTTTCGGAAACAAAGGAGACATCTATATTTCCCTAACCTATGCGATATTTTCCCACCGACGCGACGTGACCATTAACATCTTTCGGCAAAATGTGAAAAAAATTTTCAAGTATTATATTACTCTTACTGTTCGCCGTCTCTGCCCTAAAAACGAAAGAAAAAAATAAGAAATAAATAAATACTACTTCTTTACGATAAAGATAAAAATAATAAAAATCGGAAGAAAAAAAACAGCAAAATGAATAACATTTCGTGAGACCGCCGACAGATAGTTAAAGCGCGATTCCATTTCTCGATTATTAGCTTCAATAGAGACAATTTAGAAACAAAAAACAGGCTGAACTCGAAATAATTTAAAGGAGTCAGCAGAATTTCTTTCGCGCGCATTTTCCTTGAATGAAATTGTCATGGAGAAAAACGACGATTCACCCGAAGACGTTAAGCGAGCCACTTCTGTCGAGCGTGAAATAAAAAGGGGGGAAAAAGATGATATGTTCGAAGGATATCCACGACAGGAGAAGAAAAAGAGATGGGAACACTGCGATAACACTCCTTCGAAGAAATCTAAGGCAAATTGAAAACGTTTAATTGTTTCCAATATTTCTAGTGCCTTCTCTCGTTCGGTCTCCTTGTCTACTTCTTTACGGTGATTTTAATCCGAGAGATAAACGGCAGGAACACCGTTGAGACTCCTCAAATTGTGAAAGTACCGAACTACACCATGGCCTAAAATTTAGATGGGTTTATAGGGAAATGTTTTCTTTTTTCAGCGGCAGAAAGCAAAGGCGAACGGGGATTGTTGCGAGACACGGAACGGGCAGAAGAGAAAGACTGCAAAGTTTACGAAAGTTTCGGTGTTTGGAGAACCATGTACATTGCCAAAAGTAGACGTAATCCCTAGACATTGCTTGACGAAACAACATTACCTAAAAGTATTGTCAACTCCGAGGTGACGATTTAATCATCTTCGAGAATTTGTTCAATCCTGGGTTATTAAGAGGACTATATGGCAATCGTTTGATCGAACGTTTAACGCAACATTCACCATAACGTGAGATCAGGACGCAGATTCGGAAATGTTCTGCGTCACGATGTACGACGGGTTCATCATACGATGATCCAGCGATTCGTGGATAGTCAGCTTTTGTTATTACGAACGTAAACGCGTTAACGGTTAGTTGCATCCGGTAACACCGGTAACATCATCATAAATTCGAAGTTTTACTGCGTTACCTGTTGCGTTACAGGTTACATTAAAACCGATTGCCTGTAGTTGGTCTTGAGGTCTCCTGACTTGAGATTTCGAGTCTATCGACAGTGAGATTAATCGCAACTTCTGTCCAGTCGAAGGTGCCCGCCTGATTGCCACAAAAGAACAGTGATTAGAAGGTTAAAGCCTGTATCGCAAAGAATCAAGGAATTGGCTCAACCGACAAGACAACGAATGCTCATAAGCTTACAGCAAGGTGCGGCGACATTACCACCGGCGCTTTTGGACAATCTCGTTAGAACCTTGGAGAATGAAACGTGTCTAACACCCGAGTAACGTATCGATCGTTGAAATATATTTTTGCTCGCAGCACTTTCGTTTATAGGTTCTATTTAAATAGACAGTTTTTATGAAAACACGGTTACGAATGAGGTAGAAGAACAATTGTTTGTTTAATCAAAAGTATACATATATGTATGTACATACATATAGCGGTTACAGATTTGGCCTGATTAATCTCTGAATTTGCTCGAACATCGTAAAATTCGTAAGAGTTTTGGAAATATTTGTGAAAGTTTCGAAACGTCAAAACCGACACGTTCGAAAGTTTACTTCTCTTAATCCTACTTTCTCGGAAGTGTATCTGTAATCCCTAGATTTGTTTCCTATGCGATAAACTGTATAACGGACCGAGGGTTTAATTATATTTTCAGACAAGCAGCGATTGTTTCGCGGAAAAAGAAACTCGGCAAGAAGAAAAGGGAGAAAAGAGATACGTGGCGGCAGAAAGAGTCGAGTAAATTGAGCAAACCGAGTATTGGTGCTGCGAGTGCAGGATTGTTCGACAAAGATTCAGCCCTTTGCCAATATTTGATAGCCGAACGTTTCGTCAAAAGTATTCTAAAGTGGAAGTGTCCAATTCCCAAGTCGGAATTCAGCGACGTCTCGAAAGTGATCGAGAAACGCTTGGTCGAAACTCTCGAGTATAGTGCCCCACAAAACGAAGATCGTAAGTCGCAGCAGCTACGTTTCTTGGCTGATGTAATAGCCTGTTGGATATCTGGAGTGTTGTCGGACGTTGCGAAAGATCAGGAAGAAAAGCTCCAAGAGGAATGCAAAAGAAAGGAAGAAGAAATGCTAGCTGCGGAAGAGGAAGAAGATGAAGAAACGGGCGAGGACGAGGACGAAGGCGAGTATGACGACGAGGACGAGGACGAGGATGAGGAAGAGGACGAGGAAGGAAAAGAGGAAAGGGACGAGGGCCAAACAAAAGATTCGGAGAGAGAAAAAGACAAAGATGAAGTAACGGAAGACGATGGGAAAGGCGTAGAGGAAACGTCCCCTCCTGACATGGATGAATCAGAAAAATCTAAAACGGAAGGTGTGACGGAGTCGGAAACGCAAGAAAAATCTGACGACGCGGACAGAGAAGATGTCGGAACAGCAACAGAGGAAGTGGTGACGGTGGACAAAACAGTGGAAACCGAAACGGACCCAGATTCGAAGAAGCAGGAGGCAGACGCGCAAGTGGACCATAAACCTGTAGAAGCAAAACCGGGAACGGGAGTGGAGGAGGAACAAGGAATGGAAGAGGAAGATAAAGCAAAAGCGGAAGCAGAAGCGGAAGCAAAGAGGCAAGCAGAATTGGAAACAGAAGCGAAAAGGAAAACAGAATTGGAAGCAGAAGCGAAAAGGAAAGCGGAAGCGGAAGCGGAAGCAGAAGCAAAGAGGCAAGCAGAATTGGAAGCAGAAGCGAAAAGGAAAGCAGAACTGGAAGCAGAAGAAGCGGAAAAGAAAGCAAAAATGGAAGCAGAAGAAGCGGAAAAGAAAGCGGAAACGCCAACGACGGCGGAGACAGAAGAAAAAGTAGTAGCGGCAGAAAAACTAAGTGGAGAGGAGGTTGATAGACAAACAACAGAACCAGTCGATGAATTACCGACGGAGAGTGAGATCGAACAACCGGAGGATACGGTAGCGCACGTTGAATCGAAAGAAAGGGAAGAAATTGGTAAAGATGAAACGGAGACGAAGGTCTCGTCTGTTGTTTCAGGAAGAGACAAAGTTGCACCGGAAGAAGATAAATGGAAGGATATAGCGGTAATGCGGGATCTAGAGGAGTTGTTTAAAACTGATCTTCCATTCGTTACCTTTGGTAAAATTATCGATACAATTTACAAAATGATCGAGAGTACTCCAGAAAATACCGGCGAAGATCCCATAACAAATGGTATACATCGTGTAATTTACGAAAAGTTAACGAATATCGTGATGTTGGAAGATCCAAACTTATTAACGGAGGAACTGAAAGATGTGGTAGACGTGGTTTGTGGAAAAATTGCGAACTGGTTAAAATCGATCTTGAGTACATCGCAAGTCTCGTTCATGGAAAAATATATACCAGTAGTAGAATCGAAGGAAATTCGAGATTGGACCAAGTGGCTTGAACACGTTAGCAACGTTGCTATAGATTGGAATATATGGTTGCGCGGTGTCATCGAGAAAATTTTTGAGATGAGAGGTGCAAAAGTTACGCGCGGAGAGTGGCAAGATTGGACAAGGTCCGTCGATGCCGGAGCCTTACTTTGGAGGAGATTTCATATGCAAACCATACATCAAGCGCATCATAACATTGCAATGATGATAGGTCGTCGCGTCGTCAAAACTGGAACTAAAGGAACACTCTCCGGTACTTCGGAACAGCTACTTAACACTACGGAGTTACACACGTAACATTATATTGTATAATACACACATACATGCACGTAAAAAGATTAGAATTCATACAAATGAACACATACGATGAATATACGTAGAACATACCGGATGTAACTAGTACTTATTGTAGAAGTATGAGCATACATATTTAATAAATTTCTTATGTTACAGTGTGTGTTTAATTTACCTGCTGCATATTTATATTTTTAGTGTTACGCAAGTTTACTCTCGAATCGAGCAATGTAAACGTAGAAGGTAGGTAATTCTAACGACGGGTACTAAGAAACCTAAACTTCTGAAAGTTACGTGACCCAAATCGAAACTGATTGGAACTTCTGAAATGCCAACTTTCAAGTTCGTCGATCGGTAACGAATACGTTAACATACTTCCAATCGATACACATAATAATTTTCTGTTAATTTTCTGAAAAACTACGCGAAATATTACATAATCAAAGTCTCCTTTGTTTTCATTTTAATGCATTGCACGGGCAGTGGATTTTATAGCAAAACTAAAACAAGTTGTTCCAGAATGTAGAACAGATTTTTTTTCTAATTGTAAGCAAAAAGTTCCTGCACATTATCGGACGAATCGACTTTGTTCCAAAGTACGAACCGATGTGCTGAGTTACTCGACTAATCTAATCTCAAATATTCTGTGCGGTTTAAGCTATACCAATGTTGTAACGCTAATGATAATATTGTTATAATTGGTATGAAATTATACATATTATAGTATTTCGTGTCAGATACAATTTGTATGTACTCGAAGAAATTCGCATAGAAGCTGTGTGTAGACCGTGGCTGGTTCAATTTATCGAAACGGTACGTGTTACGCGGGAATTGTAAAGTGTGTCAAAGAAAGAATCAACCGGCCCCCCTCTCGCCGAACGAACGATGGAGTCAGCGACTTTCTTCTCGAATAGCTTAGCCCTGACATTGCTCTGCGACCACACGCCTACATTTACGTTTCAACATTCGAACGTGTTTACGATCGCGCGCGAATTTACATCCGATATCCGTCCACGAGTTTCCGAAATCCATCTCCCATGTCCTGTGTGTCCCCATCTTCCAATTCGTTCCTGTTCCCCGCCGCATCAACGACCGCGTCTGCGTCCGCGACCACCAACCGTATCACCGCGCAAACTCCATCGCCCATCACCCTCCACACCATCGACCGTTCCACGATGTCGCGTCTTCTCATTTCTTCGTATAAGCTCTTCAATTTCCATCTTCTTTCTATCTTCGCTGCTACTTTCTCCTTCTCCTCCCCTTTCTCCTGACCCACCATTCCTTTTTCAAAGTATAGCGTACAGCCTGCTTTCGTTGGTGTTGTTCACGACGATTCACGAGACACGCGGCATCGTTTCGTACCTCTCTGTGACTGCGGTGCTAATATCAATAGATATCATCTGTGATGAATATTTAAACGGGAACGTTTTTGCGCGCGGTAATGCCACATCGAATGAGTTAACCCCTCTTCAACTTCCTTTTTTTCTCGGTATCTTCGTACTCTGGACACCTCGGTATCATTTAATCAGACTTTTGTATGTGCGTAATCATTTTGTGGATGCGTCGTCGTAGCTATCGTATCGAGGAGAAACACATTTACCCAAGCGACAAGTATCAAATCTCAACAGAGTCCAATAGAGGTAAGTCAAACTGAAAAACTGAGAAAGATTATGTACAGTATCCGGTATTTTATTTTCGACTAAAATGTTCCATTCGATTAATAATACATACGATGATATGTATAATCTATGCCCCTTAATTAAAGCACTCGATAAAAAAAGCGTTATCTTTAAAGACTGATACTATTCCGTTTGTGCCATTCGACTAACTATATGTAGTAGCCAAGGCAAATCATTTAGATATCAACTGAATCTCATCGAATTACAATTAAAATATAATTCTCCGCTACCGACCAATTCAACAGCTGACGAGACGCAACTCTATATATGTATATATATATACCTATCTTCGTCACTACCGCCTCGGCTAAAATTCGATACGCTATCCATGCAAGAATCGTAAAATGTAATGGTAGCTTTTTGTTTTCGACGATAACGACCTGTTCGATGTTATTCGTCTTCCGTCGAATATAATATCGAATATAATAACATCCGTGTTATTCGTGTTATTCGTCTCCTTTACATGCAACTGGTTGCGTTGCTCCTAGACACGCGTATTCTTTTTAAAAAAAAAGCAAGTGTTTAACTACCCTATTGTCGCTAGAAACGCGTGCACTGACAATATAGCTACAATACAGTTGAGGTTTCAATAAAAAGTTAAACACGAAACTCGGGTATAGTGATCTATCGTTTTCATACTAAAAAGATAGAGGATGAAGAATTAGATTATTATTGTGACTTTCCCGTGTTCCGGTTCCGTGACTCTTTAACAGTGTTGTGCTGTATCGTTATCTGTAATTGATGTAACGAAACGTGGACAAACTGCTCGACGTGACCAATATTATGCGTACCTATCTTCGTAAAGTTTATCAGCGTGCAACGAAAAGAAAAGTGTTTTTGCATAACAGCGTGACGATGAAGGCCCGGTGTCGTGACCCCGAACAAAGAGACCGGCAATGACTAGCCTGGTCGATTGTGTTGACACGGCGATGAGTTGCGGGGAAGGAAATAGGTAATGTAAAGTAGAAAGGGTCGTGAGAATATTGAGCCCGGCGTATCACGTAAACGCCGTAAATTTCGTAAACCAGGCGAGTTACGTTGATAGACGCGTACCGTTTAACTAGTCGCGCGTCGCGTCGACCGATTGCACGTCCCGATTAACGTAACGATCCGAAGCAGTCGATCAACCGATCGACCTCCAAACGTTTTATATTTACGACCGTTAACCGTGTTTCCGAACAAATCGTTTCAGAATGACGCTGACATGTTGGGAAAAAATATCTCTGGTCGCACTGGCCGCGATTGGACTGAGAATTTTAATAAAGGCCAGCGTGCTCGTATGGAGAAAATTGATGGCACCCAGTTTCGGCTTTGGAGTGAACCTGATTACTCAAGGTAGATGGGCAGTGGTTACCGGCGGGACCAGCGGAATCGGGAAAGCATACGCGGAGCAACTCGCAAGAAAAGGTCTCGACATTGTATTGATTTCGCGATCGTTGACAAAACTGGAGGAGGTTGCAGCTGAGATCAAACAACGATACAGTGTCAAAGTTCGAGTAGTAGAAGCAGACTTGACCGAGGGCCAAACTGTTTATACGAAAATCGCTAAAGCAACCGAGGAGCTCGAGGTAAATTTTCATTTTCTTTCTCTGTTCCTCGACACCGCGATTCATTCTGTCGTTTCTTGTTAACAGATCGCCGTGGTGGTGAACAATGCTGGATCGAGTTACGATTACCCAGAATTATTTACCAAAGTCTCGGAAGACTGTGTGGAAAAAATTGTGCAATTGAACGTAGCAGCGGTAACAGGAGTCGCGAGAGTACTACTGCCGAAAATGTTCGAGCGTAGAAAAGGCGTTCTTATAAACATCAGTTCGTCAATGGCGGTCATGCCCAGTCCTTACTTGTCCGTTTACGCTGCGAGTAAGGCTTACGTGCTAAAACTTAGCTCCGATTTAGCCACGGAAGCCGAACCGAACGGAGTCACGGTTCAATGCGTGATACCTGGCCCCGTGGCGACCAAGATGTCAAAGATCAAGTAAGCAACACGGACGGCATTTCCTTAGAATTTCTTTTCTCTTTGTACGTTCGTTCGCAAACACTTTATGTATGTATTTTTTTCTCTCCGTTTTAGGAAAGCGACATGGATGGCGCCGACCGCAGAGAAATTTGTAGAATCCTCGTTAAAAACGATTGGAATCGAATCATGTACAACCGGCTATCCGCCTCACTGTTTACTTACTGGATTCGTACACGGACTGCGCTGCGTATGTGAAAAAGGCGCTGTCTGGCTTATCTCGAAAACGATGTGTAACATAAGAGCACGTGCTTTGAACAGGAAGACCAACGTGAAGGACAATGCGAAAGATTCTCTTGTCACTGAATAATTCTTCACCTTGGCGTCCTCTTTCCTACACTCTTTTCCCCGATTCTACGTGTCCTCCGTTTTCCATTGTGGAAATGAAACTTAAATTGTAAATTTGCGACGCGTCCAGAAATCGACAAAATGAAACTACGGGATTCTGTTTACAGAAGTAATTTAGACACATTTTACTGGAAGAGTTGTTTAGATGCTGGAAATTCCCGAGAACTTTGCTTCCTCGGACATTTTTGAGCTCCTTGAAACGACTGTTGTTTAGATTGTTTGTTATGTCGTATGTAAATGAATGTATGTGTTATATTTTGTACCGGTAAGTGTTATTCGAAAGAAATAAAAGAGTACAATGGCTTGCTTCCATCATTTTCCTGATCACATCGTTCCTTGCTCGTTACAAATATAGTAAACACTTCATAATCTCATGTACACTGCCGACACTTTTTATTTTCAAGTACTTATCGATTTTGACAAGAACAGTAAAATAACATTTGCAAACAAACGTTTGCGAAATGTCGTTTCCCATTATTCGATCATGTATCTTCAACTTTTTCTCACACCCAATGAAAAGTATTCGCACCAGTAAACGGAATCAAAGTTTCATCGGAGCACGTTAGGGTCTGGGACTTCGTGTCTCATGTTCTGAAATACCGATTGTGCAAACAGTCAGAGATTTTTTGCTGCTCTCTACGTTATGAGAACGGTGAATTCGTGAATTACAGTACAAGCCCAATAATTGAGAGTTCGTTAATTGATCACCGATAACACCCCTCGCTCCAATCTATCCCTCGAACACGTGCGCGCACTCCACTCTGTCGGCTAGCAAGGAAGGAACGGAATACATACGGTGTCACATTCACTATTCACTAACTCGCATATTTTTCATCGCAGTGTATATAATATTGTTTTAATAAAATGTTTCAATACTCCATAATTTTTGCGAATAAACTATTTTGATATCTCCCAAAAATAACGGGGATAGTAAGGTGATCAAAAAAAGTGCATACAAATAAGTATATAAGCCTAAGAATATAAACTATAGGTGCGTCTATCTCTTTCGTTTGAGTATTAGCAACTACGTTGCGTTTAGTTTAAGTTATATTGTATTAATAGCATTAATTCGTATTAATTAGAATATTAAGATAATATTAGTTCTAAGCTGAAGAACGAAGACAACCGACGAGGGAACTTAGTTTTTTATAGGTTTAGGCTCAAGAAAGAAGTCATCCGCCGAGGGATTTTAGTAGCG